TTGGTGAAAAATTGACTTTTCTTCAAACAATGCAAAAATTCCCTTGGAGGTTAGAGGAGCATTAATCAACATTCAAACATGCAAAAATTTCAACATTTGGGCCCAAATTAGCAATATATTGAGACAAAAAAACCCCAACAATTTGGACTGATTTGATCCCAATTTTTTCTTGGAATTTCATTTTCAAAAGCCCATCTTTCCAGAAATCGAATTGGAATGTGTTCTAGGGTCCCTCAAGCATCTTTCCAGCAAGTTTGAAGCAATTTCATTTTTCGGCCAAAATTGAAGAAATTGTAAGGGGTTAGCCTTACATTTTTGGTGAAATTTGGTGAAAAATGGACTTTTCTTCAAACAATGCAAAAAATTCCCTTGGAGGTTAGAGGAGCATTAATCAACATTCAAACATGCAAAAATTTCAACATTTGGGCCCAAATTAGCAATATATTGAGACAAAAAAAACCCAACAATTTGGACTGATTTGATCCCAATTTTTTCTTGGAATTTCATTTTCAAAAGCCCATCTTTCCAGAAATCGAATTGGAATGTGTTCTAGGGTCCCTCAAGCATCTTTCCAGCAAGTTTGAAGCAATTTCATTTTTTGGCCAAAATTGAAGAAATTGTAAGGGGTTAGCCTTACATTTTTGGTGAAATTTGGTGAAAAATGGACTTTTCTTCAAACAATGCAAAAAATTCCCTTGGAGGTTAGAGGAGCATTAATCAACATTCAAACATGCAAAAATTTCAACATTTGGGCCCAAATTAGCAATATATTGAGACAAAAAACCCCCAACAATTTGGACTGATTTGATCCCAATTTTTTCTTGGAATTTCATTTTCAAAAGCCCATCTTTCCAGAAATCGAATTGGAATGTGTTCTAGGGTCCCTCAAGCATCTTTCCAGCAAGTTTGAAGCAATTTCATTTTTTGGCCAAAATTGAAGAAATTGTAAGGGGTTAGCCTTACATTTTTGGTGAAATTTGGTGAAAAATGGACTTTTCTTCAAACAATGCAAAAAATTCCCTTGGAGGTTAGAGGAGCATTAATCAACATTCAAACATGCAAAAATTTCAACATTTGGGCCCAAATTAGCAATATATTGAGACAAAAAAAACCCAACAATTTGGACTGATTTGATCCCAATTTTTTCTTGGAATTTCATTTTCAAAAGCCCATCTTTCCAGAAATCGAATTGGAATGTGTTCTAGGGTCCCTCAAGCATCTTTCCAGCAAGTTTGAAGCAATTTCATTTTTTGGCCAAAATTGAAGAAATTGTAAGGGGTTAGCCTTACATTTTTGGTGAAATTTGGCGAAAAATTGAATTTTCTTCAAACAATGCAGAAATTACCTGGGAGGTTAGAGGAGCATTAATCAACATTTAAACATGCAAAAATTTCAACATTTGGGCCCAAATTAGCAATTTATTTAGACAAAAAAACCCAACAATTTGGACTGATTTGATCCCAATTTTTTCTTGGAATTACATTTTCAAAAGCCCATCTTTCCAGAAATCGAATTGGAATGTGTTCTAGGTTCTCTCAAGCATCTTTCCAGCAAGTTTGAAGCAATTTCATTTTTTGGCCAAAATCGAATAAATTGTAAGGGGTTAGCCTTACATTTTTGGTGAAATTTGGTGAAAAATGACTTTTCTTCAAATAATGCAGAAATAACCTGGGAGGTTAGAGGAGCCTCAATCAATATTCAAACATGCAACAATTTCAACAGTTGGGCCCAAATTAGTAAAAAAAAAATTGAAAAAAAAACAATCATTTTTGGATTGATTTGACCCCAATTTTTTCTTGAAATATTTTCAAAAGCCCATCTTTCCAGAAACCGAATTGGAATGTGTTCTTGGGTCCCTCAAACATCTTTCCAGCAAGTTTGAAGCATTTTATTTTTTGGCAAAAAGTGAACAAATTGTAAGGGATTAGCCTTACATTTTAGTAAAATTAGGTAAAAAATTGACTTCTTAAAAAATGCAGTAATTCCTTTGGAGGTAAAAGGAGCATCAATCAATATTCAAACATGCAAATAAATGAAATATTTGGGACAAAATCAGCAATATTTTAGGGGAAAAATACATTTTAAACTAATTGAAGGCTTACTCCAAAGTTTCTTCAAAATTTCACTTTGAAAAGCCCATCTTTCCAGAAATAGAATTGGAATGTGTTCTGGCGTCCCTCAAGCATCTTTCCAGCACATTTGAAGCAATTTCATTTTTTGGCCAAAATTGGCGAAATTTTTTGAAAAATGACTTTTCTGCAAACAATGCAAAAATAACTGCCAAAAAGTCAGGAATGCTTTTTTCTGTAATTTTTTCCTTTTTGCAAACTTTTTGGAGCACGGACAACGAATTTTTCAGAATGAATAAACACCTGTCCGAGTTATGGCAACAATTCATCAAGGTTTTGTTGATTTTTCAAGAGATTATTCAGGAGAAAATTTAATAACGGTCTTTCATTTATGCATTTATTTTTAGGAAAAATAAGGCTATCAATACCCTTTTTCTTCAATAAGAGAGTTGACGACTCAGGATTTTTTTTACCCCCTTTATAATAATTCTAACGCGAGCATTATTTTTGAGAGTGGCGCCCCCCGAGTGCTAACTTCCAGGGCAAGCCGCCGAATGATGGCGCTATGCTTGACAACAATCGATTCCAAAGAGGGCGCTGCAGATTTTCGCGCCATCGCAGTCCTACTTTTTGCCGCGCGAGGGCGCTATATTTCTCGATTCCCGCGGATCGACATCATTTAGCCGATCATCTCATTTACAATTACATGTACGTATAGGCCTAGTTAAATTTTATTTCAAAATCATGACTTTTTTAAGCTTTTCTACAGTCGCTCGATCGTGACATTTAATTATTTTTTTTTTGGAGGGGGGCAGTGTGGAGCCTTTTCAATAAGTCGAGTGTGAAAAGGTGACAAAGTGCAGGCGATGTTGTCTTGTGTACCAAAGAGAATAACAAAGACACGAATCAACAAAAGTATTAAAACCTTTTAACTTAGTTGAGCGTGAAAAGTTGACAAAGTGCAGGCGATGTCTTGTGTAACAAGAGAATAACAAAAGACAAGAATCAACAAAAGTATTAGAACAAATGTCTACACCCTGCCAAAATATTGGTAATTTTTTTTCCCGAGCATGACGAGACATTTCACAACACAATGCATTCTATCATTCAATTCATTGTAAGATCCACAAGCACGGCCAAAAAATTAAATATATTACTTATGACAAAAATCTCATTTCAGACCTTAAACATGTACATTTATGAATATAATTTACGTTTCTTTACAACAACAAAGAAGGTACATAAAACAAATGACACTGCTGATAAAGATTTGTTTAACTACCATACATCAAGTACACGTTACTACTTCGTAACCATTTGCAGTTTAATAAGAACAATCCAATTCCATGTATAGGCCTCCGCCTACCACGACAAAGGAAAAAGTCAGCAATTAATTCAACTGCTATTTCTCTAAGTGTAATTAAGTGTTTAATGGTAAAACAAAAGAAAATAAAGACAAAGACGGAAAATATTAACGTGAATTCATGAAGACTTTATATCTTGGCAGATGCAATTTGCAGACAGTTAATCGCAAATGCCTTAAACAGTCGACTTCCTTGCTGAGCAAGAACGATTCAACAATGCTGTTCTTCAGGGAACAAAACAATGTGGCCTTTTCTAAAATAAAAAAAAGAAATCCTCCCTCCAGATATTGGCCTCCTCACTTCCTCCAAAATGATGTAGAGAAGTGGCACAATCAAATGTTTGACAAGATCGAGACCAACTGGTCCAAAGCACCAACCTTGGCAGATATATTCATATAGCCCTAGAGAAGATATTTAGAAGGGGGAATTGACACCTGAAATTCTTTTGGGAAGGGTACCTAATTTGCATAAATCGTAAATAGCTGCCATGTAATATATTTATTCCCATATTTTGGTAGATTTTATATTTTTTGAGAAGTCACTTTTGGGGATTCTACTTGCATATCCTTTATACTTAAATTACATTTTCAGAAGCATATCAGAGACTTGCTAATCATGCAGACATGAAAGATCCAAAAAAGCTACCGGTACCAAACTACCATTTTACCCAGAAGTTGTACGCATTGACCTTTTCCCCAGATGTAGTCTTGCCAAACCTCAGTATTGATGAGCTTCAAATTCACAACGTTTCTATTGGCACAGTTACCCTAATAAAACTATATGGAAAATCATGTGAACAAGGATAACGTCATCATTTAGCCCAGAACACAAAGGGCAATTCCATGGTCACTCACGTTACATTTTTGATGTACTCTTGAGTTTCCTTGGGCTGTAATTACCTTACTGAAAAGGTTTAATAACTGTTATCCCCATGGTAGATAGAGTAGACCTAGACCTACCTAAGCACCAAAGATGACATCCAGAAAAATGTGTTATGTATGATAAACAAGACACACAAAATCGGTTACTCATGTTACGAAAATGTAACGCGAGTAACCATGGAATTGCCCCAAAGGAAGGGGGGGAGTTGTCCATAAATGGGGTTAAAAGTTATGGGAAGGGTTGCCTTACGTGAGAGACAAGCTTGAACAAGTAAAAGGTAATTCCCAATTTTTTTTTACAGTCTACAGGAAAATTGTTGACGTAGACATATATTAAAAAACATCCATCATCTTTCTTTTGAGGAGGATTTTATTTGAACTATTGAGAAAAGGCCCGTGACAAATATTCCTTGCCACATTTTAGTCTCGGCACAACGCTAATGCACAACATGCCACACTTGCAAGGTAAATGGTGCGAGAGTGACAGCATGCAGTTCCCTGAAGTGCCCCGTTATAAAACTTGTGTTTCAAACAAGCAGCTTGAATCAAGTCTATTGAAACACAAGGGTTGGATCTCATTACGAAATCCAACCAAATAATAAATATATATTCCAGACAAGATGAACACTGGAAATAATGTGCCAATACCACGGTCAACGAAAATGTACAAATAGAGGATTTTTAAAAAAAATCCATCACGTGGTGATTTTACAATTATGACTCTCTTCCCCTCCCCTAAGCATGTACAGCCCTAAGCCTAACATGAACACAAATCTATATACATACATGTACAACTCTCCACACACAAAAAATGTACTGTTTCAAAGAAATACAAAATGGCACCACTAAGGGCTGATTATAATCATGTACAAAAATATCGACAAATTTCATAAATTTAGCGTCGTTAGTTTGATAATAGTCAATCTCTGCAAAAAATCAGGCGACAACTTTGATTAAAAGTTGCTTGCGTACATGTAATTCACAATCCTTTTTTACGAAAGCACTTAATTTAGTAACAATAACATAATGTGGAAGAAGACTGAAAACGGAAACAAATAATAGCTTTTTAAATCAAAATACTCTGATGCTAACTAAGAAAGCACCAGAAGAAAGTACAGTTTTCTTTTATATTTCTTCAAAAACCACATTCTTGAAGGGGTTTGCCCTGGTGTTTCTGGCAGTGGCTGCAATATGCGCCGCAGCATGTACTTACCCTTATAAGGTGCTACATAATAATTAATATATGCTACATCATATTTCTCATGAACTTCATTTACCTGTCTTTAATAACAGACATAATTTCCAGCGCCTTGAGTACCTAATTGCTGGTAGATAAGACTCCTGTATTATTATTATCAGCATTTTGAATCATACAAATCACTTCATTAATCAAAGCAGACTGCATTCCGAAAAATCATGTCTACAAAATAAAACAAAAATGTAACATACATGTACCCTATCTACACAATACAAATGGAATGTTCAAAGCAATACTGTGACTTCACATTCTGTCTGCATTTAAAACAAAAAAAATAAGATCTTCACAAATTCTTTAGAAAAGTAAACGAATGTACTAAAGTGTGCAAATGTTCAAGAGAATATGCACACCTAATTCATCACATACCGTCACAAACCCTGACACAATTTTCACGCCACCCTACTAAAACTATTATAGCCCTGCTATGCTCCGTGCACAACTGATAACCCCTCCATAGCAAGAATGGAGAGTTGGGGGGGGGGGACCCACTGGGAGAGACATTCAAATATATTGCCGACGATGCCCGATACTCTTGCCAAGTAGCTTGGCAATGTGTATATTCAGAATAAACTTCTTCACACATATTTTTGCACTTTATACTTGGTTGTGAGACATGGGTAATCTCCAAAGACATGGAAAGTAAAATAAACGCTTTTGCCACCTCTTGCTACCGCATTATGCTGAGCATCAAGCGTTCCAATCATGTCCCCAATGCCACCATCTATACTATGACCAACTCAAACCCTCTTGTGGAGCGTGTAAGAACTCGGCAGCTCAAGTTCCTTGGGCACATACTCCGCATGCCAGACGATGAGCCTGCAAAAGTGTATCAAAGTGCCCTTTATGCACCACCCCAGGGGAGAAGGAGACCAGGATGACAACGCACATCATACCTAACTTATATTCAGCGCTTGCTTGGAGATAGTGATGGCATGCTGCGACCAGACCAAATCGCAACACTTGCCCATGATCGCAGTAAATGGAAGAAGCTTGTAGTCGACTGCTCCGCAGCCGAAGGATGATGATGATGATGATGCTGATACTTGTGAAGCATTACGCGCACATTGTGTCTCATCCAATGGGTTCTCGCAAGTGGTCAGAACGTGCCCACCTCTGTTAACCGTTTGCACACGGAGCCATATTCAACATTCCTTTTTTTCACATTTTTTTTGGCCAACAAGCTAGTACACGGATTTCAGAACAAAAAAAAAAGTGAAGATTTAAAGCACCACAGTCTAGCCGTCATCTCCATAACTAAGATTGCCAGCTAGCCACTTTTACTCGGCACAATGGCATGAAAGTGCATTTGACATATCAAAGGGGCACCCCACTGGTTTTCTGAAAGAGCGCCCTCTTTTCTTGAAAGAACGCCCTCTACTTTGTCACGCCTTGCTATATTCACCATCACGCACAGCTCGTTCCCCAGCTAAATTTGCAGCCTCGGGAAACAGAATACAAAGCTTATCAAATCTAGACTACACTGTTGCCGCAATGCGTTAACTAAAAAAATACTTTTCTGTCCGCCTGGATCAGAACTGAATGTCGATCTGGTTGCCGTCCATTTGCTGATGGTACTTGTACTTGACGCCATTTGACCCCCGACCTCGGCCCTTTATTCTGTGCTTGGCCTGCAAGATGAAGATGCAAAATGAATCAGTCTAGTGGTTGCGAAGGCCGATTTCTAAAGGTTACGTAACACTTTATTTTGAATGAAACTACATGTACACAGACATGTTCACCCAGGCGGGTGAAATCTTTGAAAATTAATTTCTCCAGTTTGGAAGACCGTATCTTCATGCATGGGGGGGGGGGGGGGCAAAGTGCCCCCCAGATTTGCCTGAGTGCCGCTTTTGCAGAATTAAATGTGCCCCCTCGAGTATAAATGTGCCCCCTTGAGATGAAAACAAAATTGGCCCTAAAATTTCGGATCATTTGTTTTCAGTAACAATTTCCCAACATGGTATATTCTGATATGAATGAAGAATATGAAAACCAAGCCCCAAAACACTTACAATGCGTCATGAAAATGGGCACATAAATGCGTAGTTTGCATAATGGCCGGTTTTGAAGAGTGACCCCTACTTTGGAAGATGGTATAACCCCCCCCCCCCCCCCCATTTGATTAAAGGAGGCCAAGTGTCTGGTGAAAAAAAAGTGTCGGATGTGCAAGTGCCTGTTTTGGTGATTGCCCTGCCCCCCCCCCCCCCCCCCCCCACATGCTTATCATATCAAGACTTAATGAAATCAAGGTGTTTTCATACTCCAAAAGAAAAAAAAACGAGGCAGGATTAAAGAATTCTGAGAAGCTTATGAACCTCTTCCCGAAATAAATACATGTCATGACTTCGAATTATATACAAATTCAGTATAATTCCTTCACCTTATACAAAGTGCAAGGTAAAGAGCAAAAAACCTCAAAATGATGAATTTAACATTCTCACAAATGCTGCCGCAAAACTGTTTTATCACATGTGTCAGACAAAGTGCAAAGTCAAGAGCAAAAAAACTCAAAATGATGAATTTAACATTTTCACAAATGCTGCCACAAATGTTTCTTCACATGTGCCGGGCAAAGTTCAAGGATGTTCCGATCTAGGAAACCCTTCGGGAGATGAACATGAACAACACCTGTTGACTGTTCACCTGTGTACGATACACTGATTTTACATCAAAGCGGAGGTGTTTTTTTAAAAAAGGTTCACCAGATGTGCAATTCTCCAAAGTGTATGCTTTTTGGTCGTGCCAAACACCACCATACTGACAGCAGATTATTCCTTTGTATTCAGTTGTAGATTCCCAAAAAAGGACCAGAAATAAGTCCCAACATGGAGAGAAACACAACAACAATCCTCTCAAACATCCCCCAATTTCTCAATCCTCCCAACTTCAGACACTGAGCGGTAATCCACTTCTTGACACGTTCTTCATGAGGACCTCATTGTTACTCCATAATCATGCCAAGCTGCAGGATTTTGGAGTATTAACCATTTCGCCCCCGGTTTATTTTTGCCGAAAATTTCGAACTTATCAAAAGGCAAAATTTCGCAGCCAACTTCTGATATACAGCAAAATGCCACAAATTGTAATTTTGCAGGAGTGATTTCAACAGTATTTGTACGATATTTCTTGCCAAAACCTCATATGTTTCAATACTCTGGGGTGTGTATTGGAGGGTAAATTGTACAATAGGCCGTGCACAAGAGTCGGCACACATTCCGCTTCCACAGACAACACAGACTTCGAGTGTGCATGTGTACAAAAGGCATGAGGGATTAGCGTGTTGAGGAGGCCAACGGAGGTAATACTGCCATCTTAATCCGTCAGCCGTGGGTACAAAAACAGCCAGTGCGTGTTATCACGGCCTCCAGTGCAAACTGGTTAAGAAGGCTTGTGGATGTCCCGTGGCGCAATAAGCCATTTGCGAGTTAAATTTGAATAAAATCTGGAACGCTGACTTAATCCAATTCTTTGCACATTTTAACTTTGCATTCTCCCTACCAAAGAGACTGTTACTACATCACGTGATTCGGGGCAAGCCTTATGCTAGCAACACCCAGCTCTGGCATGGTCTGGTGTCTTTGTGCCATTCTCACCCATTGTGAGCGATGTATTGATGCTGAGCGTCTCTTACGTAACTATGCAAGAGCTTGCCCCGAATCATGTGATTAGCAACAGTGTCTTTGGTCTGGAGAATTCAAAGTTAAAATGTGCCAAGCATTCTGAGCAAGTCAGTGTACCAGATGTTATTGAAATGTAAATCCCAAAGGGTATAGGTTACTCGCAAATGGCTTATTACATGTAGTCTCATAGCATGAAATATGTATAAATTAGCGACTTCCTCCTCTCTTTGCTGTTTCTCCTCTTTCCAAGGGGTGGGAGAATGAAGGGGGAAGGAGGGTTGTTAGTTTGGAACTCCTTCAACTCAACATTGATGGGAGTTCGCAGGGCCAAGTTAGACACAAAAACCAACCACACAAACTGAACCAGCACTGTCACTTTTGAGCTGTCAAGTTCATTTAGTAATTTAGAATGCAATTACAATATCAATTTTAACTGAACACATCCTTTTTTTCTGGTGACAATTTCGAAACTGATTTTTCGACACTAGTAATATCATCCTTGGGAGACGTGCATGTACTTACCTCAAGAATAAACAGCCCTGACGGTGAAGTAGGGTGTCGGTACGCATAGACCGCCCAAATGAAGAGACCCAGAACAAGCAGCGTGATCAAGACGATGCAGACTACTGCACCGACGGTGAGCCCCGGGTTACCTGAAGACTGAGAATGGGTGGCCGGGCCGTCTACCACTGCCAGGATGAAAGGGAACGTCAAGGAAGATGATAATCAAGGTGTGTGGAAAGATAAGACTCGCTGCATGAGCAGTAATGAGCATAACGCTTCACGAGGGCTCCGAGTGTACGCACATTTAACATTATCTGGCTGAACAATAACCTGTAGCGGGGACCTTATGTACAGTCGACTCTCGTTAACACTGTTAATATATAATTCTGGTTATAGCAAACATAAAGCCTTGGTCCCGACCGAGCATTTATGTGCACAACGAATGGGACTGATGTTCCTTGTAACCGTAACTCCATAGCATGATTTACTAGGAACAATACCCATCCTGGCAAATTCCAACACCATATGGGAAACTGCACACATCTATTTTCTGATTTTGTTTCTGGAGGTGTACCAACCCAATGTAAAAGATGGTCAGTTTAGGGGTACTGTACCCATCCTAACAGATTCCAACAAAACATGCTGTTGGAGTTTGATGGGTTGGGTTCTTTTAGGGTTAATACAAACAATTTGGCTAGGTCCGAATGAGTTCGTATTGACGAGAGTCGACTGTACTTGACAGGATGCAGGAAGGAATAACAGCATCTTTTCATACTGGTCCGATTATTCCCAGACTCATATGATGTTCGTCCATCGAATGAACATCATAAATTACTCCCTAATTATAACTCATAAGAGTATGAAGTTGTCAAAAACACCATGTGAAGTGGCAAACCAACTTGAAATGATGCGGTAGCATGAGAGTGGGTGAAAGTGTTAGATATGCGGTGGTTTAGGAGTTTAATATTAGGAGTTTAATATTAGGAGTTTAATATTAGGTTTTTGCCCTTCATTAACGTATTTTTATTAACACAGATTTTCAGATTCAAACCAGCCAGCTGACTCCGGCAAGCTCGGTGGTCGAGAGGCAAGACATCTGCGCTAGCAAGCAGGAGGTCGTGGGTTCAATTCACCCAAGTAGTCTTTGAATTGTTTTCTCACAATCATTAGGGACAACACTGAGTATACGATCTTTAAAAACACACATCGGTGAAGGGTAAACTCCCAATATTGTACCCACATCACCCCGACGTAAATTCCATCCCACGAATGGTTTGGGAGTTGTCAGTAAAGGCCTCTTTATACTCAGCTCGAAAGCAAACGCGAATCCGAAAGTGTGACGGCACGGCAAATTTTTGCACTATGAATTCGTTGATATAAACAAATTTCAACTGCGGCAAATTTCGCAGTGAATGTTTCCCCGATGTCATATTCGCTTTGCATTTGCATGAAGTATAAAACCGTGTTATGTTACGCAGACATGTTATACTGAGACCTTCAAATGAACTGTTATTCACGACATAAACCTTCAGCCCGTCTTGAAATCAACTTTTTTTGCTTTTAGTTTAGTAACTGCCCAGATCCTAGATAACATGAGAGTCTGCAGAAATTAGGGCCTATCTCAATTCATATGGGTATCTGTGAGGGCAGAGATGGTCATTGTGATTGAATTAGCTTCCTTGCGCCTAACAGGCTGCATCGAGCTGTATACTCCCCAGGGAGCTGAGATGGCATTTGGAATGTTTCATGGGCCCAATGAGCAGGGGTAATAACGATGTGGCGCCTTGAGCACCAGTCTTGGTGGATACACAGGCTTTGTAAATACCAACTTTGATTCCCAAGACAAGTTGTCCGGAACTCGTCCCGGATACGAATTGAGACAGGCCCTTGGGGTTGCAGACCAGTAAATCGGTCCAAAATTGCCTACGCCGGCCAAATCACGATTTGCATGCCCTCAAAATCTTCAGTATTTGAGCATGCTGTGAGCCATGAACTTGAGGGTTTGTAAAAAATATGGGTGGAAGCTGTGCACAGGACTGTGAGATTGTAGTTCCATTCAATTTGGATGAAATTGGGGCCCTTAAACTGCTCTACTTTGCAATGGAGTGTAGGCATCGTTTTTCAAAATGGCGATGGGCTTCGGGACTATTTTCAGGGGTGATCATCTTCGGAAGGAAATTTCTCCTAAAAGTCATCAGTTGACCCCCCCCAAAAAAAAAAAAAAATTGAAAAGAAAATGAAAGATGATGAAATAAGCTTTATTTTGATGTGTGTCTCGAACACCTGGGAGAGTTGTGAGTATTTTTCCCGAATTTCTGAAGTGGCAGCATTTACCATTGGGGTCTATGGCAGTTTATTTACTGGTCTGCAACCTATAAGGAAGGTAGGGCCAGAATGAAGGGCTCCCTCTAGTGCCCATACACTCACCATCGCAGTATCTGCCACTGAATCCGACCGCACAGTCGCAAAGGTGGGTGGTGATCCCCTCATAGCATTTTCCGCCATTCTCACACACTATGCCCTGGCAGTGGCCTGTGACGTCTGTTATTGGTGACGGAACCAAAGAGGTTTTGAGATATGACATGGGGGAATATTTTGCTTGGAGCGCAGTGGGCAAAAACATTTATGACTTTTCGGCTTGCTTTTTGTGGGGACATTTTAGTCTGAGAGAACACTTATTCTCAGAGGTTAACAAGTTAACACTGTAGATGAATGCAGTTTGCAAAACTAATTTGCATGTTAGTAGCAGCTAGCACCAAAAAAATATATAGTTAATACACAGTGCCATGGCCTTTTGTGAGTTTGAATACAAGTGATGTGTGAAAGGGAGACACTCAACTGAATGTAAAATGCGATTGTGCGAATGTGAATTTTGTTCAGTACACAAATTTGGCACACATAAATGAAATGTTCTGGGAACTTCAAGAATGAATTCAGGATTTTGAGGGGTCTGTAGAATTTCATAGCAAGCTATTAACCCTAACTACCCAAGACTTCATCTGGGGTAAAGTACCACATACTACATAGTACTACAAAAATGATGTATGCAGGTACTAAAAACCAGAAAATACTACGAGTGTTGTGCCTGCAGTTATGCTGAAGTACTGCACACTACAGTTTCCTACTAGTCGTATTTTGCAGCTTTAGGTGAGGTTTGGGGTTAATGACAAAGTGCTGTGATTTCATAGAGAGTGTCTCAACGGAATGGGCTGTTACAAGAAAACAGCCCACTACCAAAAACTTGTTGTGTTCTGAACATGTTCCTAATGGAAACTATAGTTTGGCCAAGTGGGTAAGGTTTGTGTCTCGCGATCAGAGGGTCAGGGGTTCAAATCCAGCTGCTGCCCATATGTTGTGTCCTTGGGCAAGCTGTTTCACCAATCCACTTGCCTCTCTCCACCCAGGAGTATAAATTGGACCGGCATTAGCTGGCGAGTAACCTGTGATGGACTGGCATCCCATCCAGGGGGAGTAGAAATATTCTCAGTCGTTTCATGCCAAGGAAACCGGAGATAAACGCCGGCCTGAAGGGCCATATTGGCTCATGACAGGGTTTACTTTTTATATTTTCTAGTGATCGCAGAATACAATGCTTCAAATTTAACGCTTTAAAAATTCTTGAAGGCTGAAGCAATGTTCTAACCATTTGAAACACTCTCTTAATTAATCTACCAAAATGCAAATCCTCACAGAAAAAAAGACAACAGAATAAAACAACTGAAAGCAATAACACTCAACTTACACTTCTGACACCGTGCACCTTCAAACTTAGGTGGACAGTTGCAAAAACCTTCTTCGCATACGCCACCGTGTTGACACTGGACACCTTTGCAATAATCAACTGTTCAAAAAGAACGCATTACATGCCTTTGTAATAGTCCAGTGTTTTTAAGTCGCATTCCATGTGCTATTTTTGAGTTTCATCCAAAAAAAATAGGTCCCTTTTCTTTATATATTTTTCTAGCAATATGGCCAAAAAAAAATAAGTTGGTCTCTGGTCAGCGCGCGGGTCGATTTTAATCATGCGCATCGATCTTTTTTTTCCCCAAAATGTTCTGCGGTAGCTCCAACAGCGCTCTCTATTTCCGCACCTCCTCAATTTTTTTTTACCAAAGAGCACCAAGGAATGGGAAATTGCACCAAGGCAAATGATCGAAAGCACCAAGGCAAATTATGGAGGACACCAATGTACATGAGGACACCAACAAAGCAAAATAGCACCCCACCTTGTCTGTACAATCCAAGCTTGAAGAAAAAAAAAAAAGCAAAAAACAAAAAAAAAAAGCCGCGTGGCCGCGTCAATTCCGGAACTTTGGTCTGACCAGAGACCGAATATTATTTTTTTTTTGCCTAACAAAAGTTATTCACTTTTGAATGAGAAATCGACCACAAAAAATCAGCTCACGTTTAGTTTATTGAAATATTACCAATTATTGGCTGCCGCACAATAATTCTGTACACGTGGGGTAGGCTAGTTCCTGCCCCACAATCAGTATCAATAATAAACCTTTATAATGTTGCCACCATTGCAGTCATGTTCCCTGTATCCAATAACAGTAGTTAATGGTCTACGTACGGACCGGGAGCCAGCCTGCTCACAAAGCAGATCTGTTTGTGCCCAAAACAAAAACTTTTTTTTTTTCAGGTTGCAGATATCCAAAAAAAGGTTTTGGATTGGAATGAAACTTATAAGTTGAAAATATGTTAAAGAAAAACAAAATTGAATTTGTTGAAAAACACAGGGAATGCAACACCCAAGCGTTTGCTATAGGATGCCTTGACAATAATCTGGTGTTTTTAACCCTAACCGCCCTGAATCCTTCAAAACCCTCGTTGCCAAAGTGGAGGAATTAGGAGGATTGAGGTTACATGGCAAAAGTGCGTTGCTGATTTCGTAGGATGCAATTTGTCAAGGTCTTGGGCTGGACCTTGTGTTGTTTTTGCTCAACCATGTATAAATATAGGCCTGGATAATGCTTGAAATCCTCCGTACTGCTCCAGGATGTCACTGGCCAAGCCTCAACATATTGACAGTCACTGCCGCAGGATTTTGCAGGATTCAGGCAGTGGTCACCCCACCACAGACCATATTCAAGAAATAATGGAGGAATTTGCAGGATTGAGGCTATACGCTATCAGTTTTCCATGAGGCCAATTGGAGGATTTTGCAGGATTGAGGCTACATCCTAGCAAATAGGCCTAGGGAGTTAGGGTTAAAAGAAACGCTTAAGCGTTTCTCAGTCAGAGCTTTAGTGAGCCTCAAAAAAGTGGAAAGATGAGAACATTAGATCAGGATCTAACAGCAGAAAATAAATTGGATTTTGTTGAATGCAATTGTTCTTGCTATTGCATCCTTTTTTTTTTGATTCAGCAGGCTTTGTATTTCAATAAAAGTTAGACCTAGGCACCAGGTTAAGGACATGGTCATCTATACACATATCCACTCTAGCACATCATTCACTAGACTCAAAATGGCTCTCAAAACACACTACTATAATCTTCATAACACCAGATTGTTAATAGTGCTTGTCTGCAGTTTTTTTTGGTTTTTGTCTTTTGTCTGTTTTTCTGTAGCACCATGAGCGCCTATTATCAGGTGGATGTCTGAGCTTTATAAACATTTATTATTGCTTTTGTTATCCATGTAACAGTGGAGCAATTTGCCATGTTAGTTAGCTGCCATGAATTCAGCTACCTTCCTGCGTAAATTAGTTGAGGCAATAAATGTGTTAAACAGGATAAATATATCAATACAAACAAAATACTCAACATGCTTTCAGCCAAATGAAATTGTAAGTGCAAGGAATGACTCAGGTTGCCCTACATACGTTTGGGTTTCAGACAGGCCAACTGTGTTAATGTTTCCATTGACTAAACATTCTATAGACTCGGATGTCATTCTGAACAACTTCATACCGGTAGGCCAATCCTTTGACGTAGTCGCTTCAAACTTTTTCAAATGTGAAACTTTTCATGTACCTAAACTCATTTATCTTAGGAACAATCTGATTCGGTGTGACTCTGAAATGGCCGGACTGAAAAAGGTGTTGTTTTTATAAGATCAATTTCCTACAGGAAATTTCGTGTAAATGTACATGTGGATGTACTAGTCTTTATCAGTGTGGTCACTCCTTGGGATTTTTCCCAAGATCTGGGGAATTTAGGACACTGGGCTTTGGAACATTTCGCTGAGCCTTTGAATTTATTTTGCGTATGGAAAACACAAGAAAGTATGGATTGTGCATACGCAAAATGTTAATTTAAGCACTTTGTGAGCCCACTTCACATGAAATTACGTTCTGTAATTTCTGCAAAAATCTTGGGAAATCTTGAAACAATTTTCTGCAGTCATCTTGGGATTTTCAAATTTGATGAGTGGCCATGCTGGTCTTCTTGTCTATTACATTGTTATGACTTTAGCTTCCAAATGATCCATATTGCCACAGTCTGAAACAAGAGTGACATTTACATAGTGTGCAGAGAGATAGGGAACCATACATGTCACACTACTTACCTGTGGGGCCAGCTTTTGGCTTCTGTCTGGTTGTAGCTGCAGCACTCTTTGCTGTGGATAGTTTTGCTGTCGGTGGCTGGCCATCTGTTGGGGGCGGGGCCCCTGTTGGGGGCGGAGCCTCTGTTGATGGCGGGGGAGTGTACCCCGGGCACTTGGTTATCTCATCAATATAATTCACCTGGGAAACAGACGGAAGCACTTGAAAACAACTTTCGGATCACGCGAAACATTAATCAAATTTGAACCTCCGTGCCGAACCCTGGCTGAACCTGGCACTTTCGACAACCCTCAGCACTTGATGAGACAAGGAAGAAAATGTTATTGTGACTTAGAAATTGAATGACCCTGAAGTACATACAATAAAACAATTTTAAAAAAACAACTTGTCGGCCAGATGTAAATACTAATGCACGACAAAACATGACCCCTAAAAAAAAAAAAAAGCCGCGTCGCCGCACCACTTTTGGTGAGCCAAGGAAGAAAATGTCATTGTGACTTAGAATGACCCTGAAGTACATACAGTAAAAAAATTGACTAAATTGTCGGCCAGATGTAAATACTGATGCACAACACAACATGACCCCTCAAAAATGTGAAATACGAATTTAAACTAATTTCCAGCACTACAGTGTCTTGAAACTTACCTGCTGTACGTGCTTAAATTAGTGTCTCGAGACTACATGTACATCCAATCCCACGCTCCTCTGGTACTTTTATCACACAAGAGCAACTCAAGGAATTTGCCCCATATCAAGGTTCTACATCTAATTCCTCCCCTGTGCACTGACACCCTTGCAGCTTTTTTTTTCTGTACCCAATGTCTGTGTCTCGGAGGAGTTAGATACCGGTACGTGTAGGCATTCCAGGGTCCCACAGAACTGAATTATTTCGTATGTTAGGGAAAGTACCTTTTTTTTTTCATTTGAAGCAACATAAGTGCTCAAAACATTAAAAAGGTTTTGAGCAACAAAAAAAAAGGCTCCGGTTTATGGTATGCACGCGCGTCGCCGTAGCTATGCACGTCGGCAAAATCAAAAAAATGTATTCAATGTAAGATGATGTCTCAAAACTGCCAAACTCACTGGTTTGACTGGAATTCTGTTGCTGCACACTTTTAACGTGTTTTTAGATGGGGTTTATACGATCCAGTATAAGCTTTATGTGGCCTCTCTGGGCTCCCATATATTTTGCACTTAATTTAGTCGGGTACCATTTGCAGTCATCAGCCGATATCTGAAGGGAAAAAAAGTAAAAAAAAAAAAAAAGCCCCATCACCGAAGCACTTTTGGGGCAAGCTTACCAGAAACCGAAGACTTTTTTTTTTGGCCTAACAACTAACTTGTTGAAATTTCAGCTCAGACCCTGCAGTGGATACCAACATTTTCAGAAAACAGAAAAAAAAACGTATGTAAAGTTTTTGAAGTCTCGTAACTGGATTCTGTTGCTAACGCACGTAAAAACTGTGCCTGCCGGCACACTCTCCCCAACCACCTTCAATGATTGTGTCGCCACAAAATGACACCATTTCAGGAGGAATAATAACACAAGTCATTGTGGTGCCAGTCCTATCTTCACTTTTAGCAAGGATTTTCTTGTTAGAAAAATCGGTAGGCATGTTTCTGGATAACTGCAAATGTTCCTCTATGTGTACATGCCTTCACGTCCTCCTGATTTGAGGCATGTGATCGCACCCCCACGCCATCGCACCCCATCTCACGCCTACAAGCTTCCCGAGAAGTGCGAATAATCGCACGCCTGAATCCCTCTGTACCGCACACCTCGGCATACATTTACAGCATAATTATTGAGCTCTTGAAATGGCTTTACTGAAAACCAAGATGAATATTATAAAAATAATACCAGATTATTCAGTCCCAACTTGGACCACAGAGTAAGTCACACCTAGAAAAATCCCACGCCTAGAAAAATCCCACGCCTAGAAAAATCCCATGACTAGAAAAATCCAGGTGTGCCTTTTTCAACATGCCTAGGATTTCCAAATCAGAAGGTTAACCCCTTAAAGACGGGTTATAATGGGGACATTCCTCCACACATAGAGCAAGTGGCCCGCATGACTGCACAGCCTTTGTGTGGTAGCGCAGTGTTCTCCAACTTTGAAAATTAAAGGTTGGCGCTGGGGTCGGCGGGGACTCCTGCGAGCGCGGAGCGCGAAGCCCTTACGGCGTGGGGTCCGGGGCCCGCTTAAGGGCCCCGGGAAAATTTGGATTCTAGATGCTCTGTGGTGCAATCTGAGGCGATTCCAGGCCAGTTTCCCCGATTTTTTTAGCATTCAAAAATTACCTTTTCAACCTAAAGCAGACTTCTCTCAGATCAAATGACACCTTTTTGTAATTTTGAAGAAAAAAAAAAGGGATACAAATTACTGTTTTTGTACGCGATTTTATGGGTGGTGCCGGTGCCGTGCGATCATCATCTTTATTTTCATGTTGCGTTTTTTGTCGTTGTCATCGTCATTTCCCCCCAAATTTCCCTCTATTTATGACCTACCTGTATGTTCTTAATGTCGCCAACTAGTTTGGTAAGTCAAATAAATTAAAAGTGGATTTTGTTCTCTTAGGGAACCGGGCCCATACACGATCGCCATTTATAACTTTTGACAATCGGCATGATCGGAACACCATGTGCACGCGTGTTTTGCCCTCGAGCTTACAAGAACATCAATGCGTATTATATTGTGTACCGCGCATGCAAGCACTGAGAAAAAGAAAGTCGGTTGGCTGCACGTAAGATCTGCCGTACGTACTCCTGCTGGTGTGTGTGTGAACTAATACAGATATATATTTTTGCGGCGGGGTTGTCGCTACTTGAAGTATCGGCACACTCCGGAACTGGGGATTCAGTTGTCAGTGTGTGTACAGTAATAGTACGTACAGTGCATGGGGAATCGCTGGTGTTTGGCCACGGCCGGCCGTGCGTGTGATTGATTCAGCGAGATTTTAAGACAACCCCGATCCCGATCGGGCTGGGATGACATCAAAATACATTGTCAATGTGTAGAAAAACAACTGAAATCAAGGATTGTAGTGGTTTTAATAGGCTGATAGATGTTTTTGCAAAAAGGGCACGACGGCCAAGGTAAATATGGGGCAAGGCAAGACTGGCCGTGAAGACGGGGATTTTTTGTGGGGCACCTCGGCCAGTGAGAAGGCAACGACGGCACTGGCCGTCGTGGCCGTCGTTTCAAGCCCTGCAATTTACTGGGAAGCAATCGAAACATTTTATTATATTATAAGGCTATCTACAACTGAAGTTCATGGAATACAACATCCAACAAAAGTTAGCCTTACCCCCGAAGTCTAGGGTTTAAAACATCCTTTAGTCAAAGACTATTAAAAACGATGCCAATGCCCGCTGCAAATTCCGCAAACGTATTTAACAGTAACACGCACGTCGCCAGGCCTGCAATCCAAGCAGTACACGTGTGTACGTATACGTACAGTACGTAGGTCGTGTAGCATTATTTTGCATGGAACAATGGTACATCTTGTTACCAGACGATCCCCGAATAATATGATGATAGAGGAGAACGGAATCGTCAGAACCAGACTAAACTGCATCGATCATAGAGAATAGTAAAGTGAGTTATGATCCGCGCGCATCGCAAACTTAGACTAGGTTCAGCGGGAAGTCATTCAATTTTATTCGAAAATGAAGTGGTCATTCTTGTTTCTAAATTCTTTTAGTTGTAAATGTACACTGTAGAGTAAAAAAATTTAAACCTGGCGGCAGGATTTTAAAGCTTGGCGGGGACTTCTTAAACATGGCGGGCGCCGCAGAAAGCATGGCGGGGCGCCAGGTTTGTTCTACATGTTGGAGAACACTGGTAGCGGGACTGCACAAAAGCAGCAACTGTGGAACTACCCACTAGCCCTGTGCCACGGCATACCACAGCTGGCAAGTGCATTCCAATGAGGATTAGCGGCCGCTGCCATGACCACTTCCCATGCGCGCATGGGGTTAAAGGGCTGAAATGGAAATGGCAATATTTTTTATTAATATTTTTGGTCGTACATCATGTATACTTACAGGCGTATTACAATCACTCTCAAGCCAAGACTGACGATGATGATCAAACCCGTCTGAACATTTGTTGCGTGTTGCACACCAGGAGCAGTTGAAGGCAATGTTATTGGCGACACAGCTGCTGCAAGAAGTCTGCTGATTGCAGGCTGCATTAATCACGTTCAAGATAAACAAAATTCAAAAGAATTAGTCATATGCAATGGTGTCCTTATATAGCCACATATGAAATTGGTGTTTTTGGCAGCAGACATACATGTATCATTTTCACAAAGGGACAATCGTTTCAATTTAGTTGAAAGTATGTCATGTTATAGGGCCTACACATTCACTTACATTGAGAAAATGGTCATGATATTTATTGCAATGTGTCCAAGCAAAAATCAAAGCCAAAGACACGGCAAGGGATCCACTCAAAATGAAAACACATGCAAGCTGAACTAGATAAAAAGAGGTATAGAAACATGTTCAGTTCAACTCAAGTTGTATGCAACTGTGCATTTGTCGGGTCAACTGAGTTGTGTACAAAATGCCAGCAGTTGGTTCTTGTTGCAAGACCAAAACATTAAAGCTATAGTCCATCATTTGCAGCTTTCCGAAAAGTAGCTGGCGTAATTATTGTTGAAAAACATACTTGGTTGAAAGATAGTAAGGGGACTAAACTCCCTGTGAAATTATTCTTTCTGGCAAGCTGTCATTTTGAAGTAATCAACGAAAGAAGGCCTTTCCAACGGTGCTTCTTAAGAAGCACCGTAGGAAAATTTAAATTAGTTCGTTTTGTTATTCGGCGAAGCGCGCACAATCATTGGCACGACGCACACACACGCGCGGTTGCTATAATTCGTCGGATCGCTGCGCAACATCACGTAGCTGCAATCGGCTCAGCGAGAACGTGTCTCGGACGCTGAATTCAGGCGCAATTCAAAACAAGATTCAGCAACTGTTGATTTGAAATTGAGATCCTAGAATGCTGTTTTTCTCGGAGCTTAAAGGTAGAGTCCATCATTTGCAGCCATCCGAAAAGTAACTGGCGTAATTATTGTTGAAAAACTAACTTGGTTGAAAGATAGTAAGGAGACTAAACTCCCTGTGAAATTATTCTTTCTGGGAAGCTGTCATTTTGAAGTAATCAACGAAAGAAGGCATTTCCAACGGTGATTCTTAAGAAGCACCGTAGGAAAATTTAAATTAGTAGTTCGTTTTGTTATTCAGCGCAGCGCGCACAAGTATTCGAACGACGCACACGCGCGCGCTGTTGTTATAATTCGTCGGATCAGTGCGCGACGTCGCGTATAGTTGCAATTCAAAACAATTCAAAACATAATTCAGCAACTTTTGATTTGAAATTGAGATCTTAGAATGCTGTTTTTCTCGGAATGTACAGCTGAAGCTTAGCTGAAACTTCATCAGGTTAGTTGCTCAGTATCCTTCATTAGATTTTGAACTCTTTTGTTGCTTCAAACGAACAAAATGCACAAATTACAAATGATGGACTCTACCTTGAAGCTGAGCTGAAACTTCATTAGGTTAGTTGTTCAGTACCCTTCTTTAGATTTTGAGCACTTTTGTTGCTTCAAACGAACAAAATGCACAAATTACAAATGATGGACTATAGCTTTAAGGGGTCTAACCATTCCGGCTTGAAGCAATTCGAAGCTAACGGTGATTTGCTATCCGGTTCGTTAGTGTGACGTCATCGCAATTTAGCCCTGCGTACTTCCCACGGTGTAGCATACATGTACATGTACACGTACATGTACATGAATATATGTACATGAATGGAACCAGAAGTTAACGTACCTCGAGCGTTTATCCAATGGGCGTTGGATAATCAGTGGTGCGTGCGCATGTATGACGTTTTTGCTAACGCACCGGATTATCAGCGGCACTGCGCGCGTGCCTGTTGTACTGGCATGGTTTCAGGAACCTGGGTTTGGCAGCACGACAGCTGTTTGATGACGCACTATGAGCGGTCCACAAGAAGGGGAAGGAGAATTAATGCATGGAACACTCACAGTCACGACTAGTGCATCATAAAACAGCCATCTGGCGCGCTACTGTAACCGCAAACACTGTTAGCTTCAAATTGCTTCGAGGCGGAATGGTCAGATCCCTCAATGTTTTGGTCTGGCAACAAGAACAAACCGCTGGCATTATTTATACACAACTACTCAGTTGGTGCGAGAAATGCAGTATCAATTATTAAATGACAGTTGTACATCTGGAGTTAATGCACCGAAAGTACCTCTTTTTATCTGTAGATTAAGCTTGATCGTATTCTCATTTTGAGTGGATCCTTTGCTGTAACTTGAATGAAAATGGAAAATATTGGCCCTAAAAGTAAAAGTGAAATGCGCTTGCTAAGTCAGGGACTTCATTTCAGCTCTACCATGTCTACGGTAACATGCCCTTCATACATGTCATGCAAGTCATGACTCCAGTAAGCTGGATATTTCAAGCTTAATAAAAGACTGCTTTAGTTTGAAAATGTCATTATGGAAACATATAAGAAACACCCTCGACTCTAATGTTATCAAGAGAGGCCTACAATACACAAGCCCCACATGAATGCCTACTAAAAAATAAGGCTACAATTTTCCTCCAACATTCAGCATGTTCAGCAGCGTGTTCAGGCCCTAAATTACAAATTGCATTGACACACACAATCATGACAATGGCAGATTATATTGAGACAATTACCTACCATTCATTTCCGGGGACAAAGTGGTTGTCTCCGCTGCTAACATTGGTAACATGGCCAACATAAAAGCAATCACACACAAATGTGCAATTTGCAACTTCACATTTTGGCCAAGTAGGCCTAAGAAGCCTAGTGAAGTAGCCATTTTGTTTTGCACCATGGAAATTGACAGAGAGAGAAAACTGACCAAAAATCACACAGTTTTTCAGGATTTGTTTTTATAACTGCAGTGATAAATAACTGAACTACGTTTTCACTAATTTCTTTTCATGGATAAATAAATTGATACAATGAGGAAGTCGGCCTACACGTGCTTGCAAAAGGCACAAAAAACATGCACTACGTTCACCGTGTTCTTAATTCTCCATTCACTATATTTCACTCACATAGCACTGCATGCATACACTAGTAGTACTACTGCACACAGTGCATGCAGTGGAAATGTCTGTTTAACCATGCATAAACATGACCTCATTATCTGGCCTTCATGTTTATGCATAGCAAGATGAACAGGGGGATACACTCCCAAACAGATTTGGGGAGTAATTCATCATTGTCTGTATGAAGGCTTGTTTACAATCCAAATGTTCTTTTATGCAAGTGTTCCAATATCTTTATTGTTTTGGTCATATTGTAGAGAGCCAAAAAGGCCAGCTGTGGTCAACCTAACAAAGTAACATTTGGAACAAATTGTGAATATTTGTTTATATTTATTTTAAAACAAATTTTTTCCCCCAAGAGAAACTGATTTTACTGGACATTGTTCCCCTAGAGCAGTTTGTGTTAGTAAACTACATGTACATGTACTTAATAAGATACAGCACCAAGAATCCAATCTAAAATGAAAATATATATGAAGAATGAAAATGATAAAATGAAAAATGTCCAAAGAAAAAAATGTGTCTACGTTTCACCACGGATGTGCAAGTCCCCTTTTCAATTTTTTTTACCCCCCAATCAAAATGACTATGCTACGCCACTGATCGGGTGAGTTATTATTTTATAATTTTGAGTAGTAATTTTGAAACTTAGTTTCCAGAGCTACTTTTGTTCTGTAATTATAATGTTGATGGGAGTTCATTCTTATATTTGGTTGTTCGTTATTCAATCGTTTGTCTGCATTTCTGTGAACGAAGTTATCTACATCTTGAACTTTAATGATTCAAACAAAAGAGATTTACAAGGATGAGTTTGGCAGTCAACTTAAATTGAATCATGATGGAACGATAAACATTATAAGATGGAATTTTTTGTTTGTTTTTGCGCCGGGGTGATATAAATCAAATTAGGTTTTGCCCTTCACCGACGTTTTAAACACTGTATACTCAGTGTGTCAAGGACCGTCCAGAAACTGTGTCGTTGTCCGTATTAAAGAGTTGCATCAACCTTGAACCCTGCGTTATAAAAAATGCTAAACTTTATCCGCTGCAAGGATTATACGACAGTAACATCCATAAGGTCGGCCATCTTTAAAGTCGTGGGAATGCCGATAAAAAAAAGAGCATTGGATCTGCTGGCGCGTAGTTCAGGCAAGTCAAAAGATCTAGCTTTTTTGTGTCTTTTCTTTGCTTTTTCTATGAAAAGTGAATTTCGTTACCCACCCACCCACAATTTCGAATTTTTTTTTTGAAATTTAAAAACATCGACAATTTTAAATGGCCCCTTAATATACCTGTTTATGGTTTTAATAAAAGTGAACAGATCAAATTGTACATTATTTGAATATACAGGGTGAGTCAAAAAAAGCGGAACCCAAACCCCCAAAATTATATTTCATATTAAAAAAATTATGTAGCACCCAATATAATAATGACTGGAAAGCCAATTTCATAAGCTACATTTAGATGAAAAAATACTGAAATTGCTCAATCAGTTCTAAGAATATCACCATTTAAACACAATGACCCTAAAACCTCTTTTGTCCACAAATGCGATTTCAAGAATCGCCGTCACAATTGTCTTCAAACATCACCAGCGATAAAACCTCAGTTTAAAAGTTAAAAATATTCAACAAAGTCGTTTTGAAAGCCCGTCTTTTAAAAAAAAGTGCATTTTAAAAGTCATATTGTTTGCCTATAAAGGGGCCGTTCACAATTATCAACATTTTTACAAGTGTACAAAGAGTACACTTTTTCAAGACACCCCCCCCTCCCCCCTAAAAGTGTACGAAAAAAATGTTGATTTTTTTTCACACAAGTCTATATATAGACACTTGCAAGGGTTTTTGTAACTTTTGTAGATCAAGTTTTTGGCCATGACATGTGACACCGGCCGTTAAAAACACGGAGTGGATACGGACTATACTTGTACATGTACATAACAGTACATTTTCATGTACGTGTGTAGGACAATGCCGCGCATGCTGTACACAATACTTTCATGGGATGCAATGCGGGGCCTAGCGCGGGGCGCGACCGGCTCGGCAAGTGCTCGATCGGCATCGGTTGCGGCTGTCGGCTGTGGCGACGGGCGAGAAAACAGATCGACATTCAAAAAAACAAAAACAGCATTAGGCGGACATTAACGGGCGAGAAAACGTATCGACATTTAAAAAAAAAAAAACGTACGGCGGCCATTAACCCCCTCCCCCCCAGTGTACGGTTTGTACGCTCGTGAATATGTTGATAATTGTGAACGGCCCCTAACCAGGGTTGTTAATAAAGAAATTGTGTACTACAGTTGTTGAAACAAGTATTCTGTGACGTTTTCTTTGTTGTTCCAAACAGTCAGAATGCACACCGTAAACTGTTTTTTTCTTTTGGATGAAACATGTTTTTAGGGTCATTGCTTTCAAATGGTTATATTGTTTGAATGGATTGAGCAATTTCAGTATTTTTTTCATCGAAGGGTTGCCTACGAAATTGGCTTTACAGTCATTATCATATTTAGTGCTACATATTTTTTTTAAAATATGAAACATATTTTTGGGGGTTTGGGTTCCGCTTTTTTTCCCGCTTTTAAAGTGTTACCAGTCCATCGTACATCAACAGATTAGACTGAATGCAATCTTTACTTAGAATGGAGGATTTCAGATTTTGAATGCCATTGAATGGTTTATGATAAGAATTGTTTTGCTGAGGAAACTTACTTGGAAGTGGTGAAATAAGAACCGCTGTGCCACTGTCGATAAGGGACATGTCTAGCTCAACCTTATGGTACTCAAAGATTTCTCGCTTTTTTGTAACTATAATCAAGCACAAAAATGAAGAAAAAAAATACTATGTTACAATCAGTAAAAACCTAAACTTCACAAACATTGCACTTTACATGTATATACACGCAAAAATATTTCTAACAAAACTAATACAGAGAGAATTCAAAATCAGTCAATTACATCTTTTGTTCACAGATCAGGTGGCATTACGAGTGTCAAATCAGTTTGCTACTGGCCAAACATTCATAATTCATCATTGCATTCCATATTTTTTTATATTTTGAACAAAAGAACATTATAACAATACCTTAAAAAGTTGCACTATCTGTTGTTTTTGAGTTTCACCCCGCAAATAATAATGTTTTTTCTTTGTTTTACGATATCTGTCAAGCAAGGCAATTTCACTTTTGAACGAGGCAAGCAAAACCTCCAAAAATAACAAAACAAAAAAAATCGGCCCACGTTTGGTTATGGAATAATTATTTGAGGAATTTTGAATTATTTATAGCTTAACAACAATTCAGTTCTTGCAAAGTGGACTGTTTCCTGACCCTGTCACAAAGGACAATGCATGGAATGTGCATGCAAATTTACATGAAAAGCCTTTTTTTAGGGGGTTCCAGATACCCATCATTGTAAAACTATTTATTTTCATTAAAGTTGCGTTCCCCGTGCTATTTTCGAGTTTCATCCCAATCGAAAAATAGATTCCTTTTTTAATTTTTTTTTTTTTTTTTTAAGTTATTCACTTTTGAATGAGACATATTGACCGAAAAAAAATAGCCCATGTTTAGTTATTGAATTATTTATTACTTTACAATTTCAAATTATTGGCTGTCAGACAATAACTCCGTTCTTGCGGGGAGGCTGGCTAGATCCCACCCCACAAACAGTATCGAGAAAATATAGGCCTACAGACCAAGAGCCAGTCTACTTGCAAAGCACTGCACTACTGGATCTGTTTTGCGGGCTTTTGTGGCCAAACCAAATAACTTTCTTTTTTAGATGGTTGCAGCTAGTCGTCAAAAACTTGAAGTAAAAACCCTGTTTTTCTTGTTTGAATAAAACATATGGAAAATTTATCAATAGAAGAAGAAAAATTGTTGAATATAGCACGGGCACACAACTATAAAATATAAACAAAATGAAAATTGGTTTCGAAACGTTTTGAAATTTTCAAAGACCACATCTTTAAGATCTATATGAAAATCTTAGACTCACATGGAGCAATCATTTGATCAATATAGTAGGCATCAGCCAGGCCAACTTTAACAGGATGGCCGTCCTCTGAGATACTGGAGATAGGAATGGGGACCTGAACAAAAATACAAAGCGGACAAAATCTACGTCTAACAGGTGCAGATCTAGAAATCAAAATGGGTAATTCGAGGTGAAAATGAGAAGGGGGGGGGGGGTGGATTGACTGACGTATCTAGATTTTGGGTCAGGAGGGGTTGGGATGGGAATTTCCTGATAAAGGCCAACCCTTATCCTCTTTTGTTATTAATCTATCAAATTGGGGGTGGGGACCTAAAATTGTGAAGAGCTGGCCGTATTTCAATTCCTAAGAATTTAAAACAGTGAACATAACATGCCTTTTCCAAAAGCCACAAACATGAAACCATGAATACAACCATGTTAAAATTACCAAATTATCAAGCATTCAAAAATAATACTGTTCTGAACAAACCCATCTATAAGCAATTAATTAATAAACCAATAATGACAAAATAAAGAAAGACAGTCTCACCTGCTTATAAGCGAATAGGATCCTCCCATCTTCAAAAAGTGTTGCTTGGAATGTAAATAAACCAGCTGGTAAAACAGAAAATGTACGTAAGTATTAATAAAAAATACAATTTCAAACAGCTCGAAAGCACAAATGTTTATCCCCTTGCTGTTGCATCATAGTAACTTTCTGCAACTAAGCAAGTAATATAAACACAACCAAGCATAATGCGTTGTGTGCCAAGGAAAAGGTCGTAAGCAGCCCAGGAACCCAAAAAGCACTTTTGGAGATAATCAAGTTGAAAGGTTTTGTGCTCCCATTTCTAAATGAAAAATCACATCAAGCTGAAATTTGGGCTCATGAATGTCGTGAATAATTAAAATCATATTGTGCATATTTATTTCAAAATATCACTTAATTTTGAAGTTAGTAAAATTTTTCTGCTTATGACCTTTTACCGAGAACTCCATCTGCCTTAAACGTGAACTTGCCTGCAAACGTGCGCTTAAGCAGCATGTTAAATCCTAAGCCGGGAACAAAATGGGCTTTGCGTACCCATTTTAGCGGGATGTTAGGGCGCTTGGAACATTTTTTGTTGCATTATAATTACACGCTTACGACCTTTTGCAGGGCACAAATAATGAAAAACCTCCTTCCGTCCTTTGTTTTCTGTTAATGACATCAGAATGACGTAGCCCCTTGAGACAATATGTATATCAAATGAAAGATATTTCAAAGCTTTATCGACTACCCAAATAACCCGAATTTGATTTGTTTGCCCTTACGACCTTCTTCCAGGCACCGGATGAATTGTTATCACACATATACAGACATCCAGCTTTGCACTGACACCACAACCGAACTGCAGGCTTAATTCCATTGGGTCATGTTTAATTTCCCTTACTTGCCATGTGCTAGCTAAAGGAACCTTAAAAAGATGTAACAAACAAAACGCATGGTACTCCAAAAGTGTCAGAAAAAAAAACGCAAATTAGGTTTTCAATGCTATATTTCTAGGTACACACTGTAACATGGTAGGCCTATGAATTTAGTGAACAAACCTGCTCTTTTTTAAACTAAAAAAAAGCAGCATGAAATAAAAGCTGATGAGAGATATGAAAGCTTGAGTGATATGGAGTCCCCATGCTCATATCGACAGACTTTTTTTTGGCATATGTATGGACATGAGCCATTTACAAACCTTTTGCTTTTTTTCCCAGCTTTGCCTGAAGTTCTGGCATCAGGCCAAAAAAAATGTTGCGCTGCCCGCACAAAAAAATATCAGGAGGGTACTTGGGGGGGGGGGGGGGGGAGAGATTGGCCTTTCTGCTGATTGACGAATAAATTAGGCTTCAATGAACTTGTGCACGCACCAACTATACCCCGTGTAGGCCTACGTGCACATATGCATGCCATACAATCTACAGTGCAGGTACACATTCATGTACATACGATCATACAACATGCCCCAGGCCTTGGCCTCATCAGTTACACATACAAAATAGAGTAAACTCAAATTACAGTGAAATCTTGACTCAGGGCAATTCCACGGTTACTCACGTTACATTTTTGATGTACTTTGGAGTTTCCGTGGGCTGTAAATTACCTTACTGAAAAGGTTTAATAACTGTTATCCCCATGGTTGATAGAGTAGACCTAGACCTACCTAAGTACCAAAGATGACATCCAGAAAAATGTGTTATGTATGATAAACAAGAGGCACAATTTCGTAACTCATGTTACAAAAATGTAACGTGAGTAACCAATTTTGTGCGTCTTGTTTTATCATACATAACACACTTTTCTGGATGTCATCTTTGGTGCTTGTAGGTAGGTCTAGGTCTACTCTATCAACCATGGGGATAACAGTTATTATAAACCTTTTCAGTAAGGTAATTACAGCCCACGGAAACTCAAAAGTACATCAAAAATGTAACGTGAGTAAACGTGGAATTGCCCATAAGTCAAACTCTGATAACTCAAAACAACTGTTAAGTCAAACAATTAGGAATCCATTCCCTTCAGTAGTATATGGTATACATTTTACCCTGCTTAACTCAAAACTCTGTTTCAGTCAAATTTTGAACCTGTTCCCTTGAAGTTTGACTTATCGAGATTTATTGTATTGTATGTTTTTGTAACGAAATGAAAAATTATAAAGAAACAGTACAAGGAAACATTACAGAGGCTTCGTCTTCAGCTATAGATTCAAAATATCTTATTGAAGGATGTGGATGGGGAGGACATTTTATCTCATTAAAATGATAAATGCAAAGATCTGAAAAAAATTGCACAGTACAATTCATGCAATATGTGATGCACAGAGCCATGAGGAAAAAGAAATCTAAATTTCAGTCCAATTGTTAACCACATAGCAGATGTCACAGACAACTCTGCTCACTATTAAAGGGACACTAGGTCCTGAAACAGCCCAATTGGGCTACAAAACGCGCTTTGAACAAAATGATTTTAATCGGAAATAACATTTAAAAGTAGGATATAAACATCCACACAACTATCCTTTCAAAACTGGGCGTTTTTGTGTAATTCCTGTATTATGCGTGCGAGAACGAATTTCGGGGTCCACTTTTGCGACCCCATAAATTCGAGCTAGCTGTTTGGATGCTAATTGTGATTTCATTCATGAAGTGTTCGTCTTTTGCGGACGTTGAAGAAACCACTATTTTTGCATTGGTGATTGGTCACCGCTGTTCCCGAGACACACAACGTATATATCACACACTGAGAACGACACGAAAAACATATTCGTGCTCTGTCGTGTCCGATGTAAACAAGCGGTTTTTTTTCTGTCTTTTCTCTGGAACGGTAAGACATTAGGTTGGTTTCCTTTCAACCAGATGTTTGAAATAGGCTCAGTAAACAATCCAAAACATGAAATTTTCGAGGATTTCAGGACCTTGTGCCCCTTTAATTTGCAAAACATGACAGTGATTGATCGACACAAACAACCTGTTACGGGTCTATAACAGCCCTGTAAACCCCCAAACCATGATACATTATACAAATGTTGACTGTTTGGAGTGGTATAGTCTCTGCCTCGGCGTTCTATTTCCCCCCAGCTGCGCTCTAATGGATCACAGAGGGAGGCTACTTTAACTATTTACCAGAGTTTAAGCAGTCAATATTTGTTTCATATCAACTCACTCACAGATTCTGCTTAATTTTACATGATAACTGATTAATTTAATCTCAATACAATTAAAAGGTACACTGTATTGCTATTTCAATATGAACTTATTTGAAAATAAACTTGACTTTTTTCACACCACCCCTTCATGAAATGTTTGAACCCAGCTCTGTAGCCCTAGCGCCGGCGAACAGTACGTGCAACGCGCAGCCCCGTATGTATTTTCACACAATACCAGTTGATATGCAAATAGTACTTTGGTTGCTATGCATAGTCTTTTTGGCAGGCACAGCAAGATGTCAAAAATAGCGAATAGCATGTGACTTGCTCTCAGCCAATCAAGATACAGAATCTGAGGGTGAGGTGTTATAATTGTGAACCAGTTATGAGCAAACAGCACATATTTTGGTTGGTAAACCGGGTCTGTTGCTTGCTCTATGGCCTAATCATCATGGCTCTGCTAAACCTTTAATGAAAAATGCCTGCTAATGAATTAGACATTTCCGTGCTTATGGTTGGCATATTTCAAGGGCTATAGCGAGGAATTTTGGTTTTCATTAACGCACATGCATACATCCTGTAATGTGGTTAGCACAGAATTTTTTTCGCTTGCACTGTTAGCGCAGATTGGGGATCGTTAGAGCTTAACTCTATGGTGGCCTTGAAGGATGTCATGATTATTTTTGCGACGTTGTGAATGTATTCGCGACTAGTCATGAAATACTTTCGCAACGTCGTGAATATGTTTGCGACGTCATGAATTTAGACATGACCTAGTCATCATGAATTTTTTTGCGATGCCGTGATTTTATCAACTGGTCCTGATTTTTTTTGCGACATTGTGAATTTATTCAAAACTGGTCCTGAATTTTTTGGCGATGTCGTGAATTTATTCACGAAAGGATCGTAAATATTTTTGTGACGTGTGAATATTTTTGACGACCAGTTGTCACGCGGCACAAATATGTGCTATCCCATGATGCACACTGTTGAACCCTTCAAGTTAGTGGAAAAAATATTTTCAACAAAAAATTCATGACAAGTTGCGACTAAATTCACGACTTGTTGTGAATATCTTTTGCGATGTTGTAAATTTGTTTCTGGACTCGCGAATTCGTTTCACGAAGAGTCGTGAAAAATTATCACGACATTGCAAAAATATTCAGGACAATGCGAAAATGTTCTCGACTTGTTGTGAATAAATTCACGACTTCACAAAAATTTTTATTGGCCACCATAAAATTCTGTGGTTAGCAGAGCCATGAAATTGGGCCCGTTCTTGCTGAGCAAAGTTTTTTTTTTCAAATTTGAGTGCACAGCAGAAGTTAAATGAAATTTGTCAATGTAGATCTGCTCAAACTTTGGAGGGGGAAAATTTGAAGCCAGAGAATCAATTGAACAATCTTTTCTGTTTATATCAACTATACTTTAAGTAAAAATAAAAATTTTGAGTTTTGATATCATCAAAACCTTTCCAGACAGCTTATTGATCCGAAAATCCTTTTCTTTGAAATTGGTATATACGTGCTTTTTCAAAATTTTGATTTTCTTTTCCAAACAAATTCTAAAGGAATATAATATCCTGTAACAAATGAAATTGCGTGTTTTCATTTGCAGGCCGTTTTAAAGGTTTGAAAATGGTGTTTAATAGACGGTGCACTTCAGTTCAGAAAGTTTGGAGTGAAATTTTACAAATATTCATATCTACTGACGTTTCAGCTATGTTAATTTTTTAACCATACGATAATCGTGGCGGGTTTGCGACAACTCCCGCACGATACATGCAGCCAGACCGGCCTGGCTACACTACAGTTCCTACGTTCTATCATAATCTCTGCTATTTTGCGTCTTTTCCTCTCACTGGATCGTAAAACCCATGGTTTTCCAAGTCTTGTTTCAAGTGTCGTTCATGATTGCATTGTCGCAACAGTGCGATACTAGCCGTATACCCACATGCACATTTTTGTAACATGAACACCTGTTGAAATTAGTATTCAAGTGCTGCACTGTCGCACCTGTTGAAATTAATATTCAAGTGCTGCAATGTCGCACCTGTTGAAATTAATATTCAAGTGCTGCAAGTGTCGCACCTGTTGAAATTAGTATTCAAGTGCTGCACTGTCGCAAGAGCGCATGCGTATTAGGTCCTGCTGGCCTCAGATTCGAATTAGGGACGTCCCGCTCCCTATTCAAAAGTTGAAATTAATCACTCGGTTACCTATTAATTATCATCGGCCCATTTTTGTGTGTGATGTTTCACTGGAAGCACATAACTAATGTAATTCTAGAAAATTATCAATTCAATTCGAAAATCTGCTTTTCGGGGTGCCACACCCAAAAAGCATGTATACACCAACTTTAAACTCAACATAAATTCAATAACACAACTGAATGAAGACAGCATTTAGTCATTTTTAAAGTGTAGAACATGTCATGCACAGCATGGTTCTATATAATGGCAAGTGGAATGGAAAATGACAGATTCCTTTTTCACTCTTTCTTCCGGTGGGTTTCTTTTTTTATGGAGCAAGGAAATGTTGGAAGAAAGAAATTCACAAGGATGAAATGTACGAAACAAATGGGGAAAAAGCAGGCAGAAACCTGGGAACATTTATAATTCAAGCGTAAAATTATACCGTACCAATGATACCCAGGCAGACACCACCACCTGATAGGAAAAAAGTGATTATATTTAGAAACAGAACTCTTGACTGACAAGATTCTCACAACATGCCCAAGTCACCTGAACCATTCTTTAAAAACCATAACTCAATTAATTTCCCCAATTTTTTACATTCTTTAAGTTTGAATCAGAGTTGTATTCAAGAATATCACAAGGACTAAAAGAAAATCTCTGATTTTAATGGATACTTGTTACTCTAAATCCCGCCGCGCACGAGAGCTACGTGCTGAGCAAAAAGTCACTCGAAGCAATTTGCCGAGCTAAAAAGATTAACTAGTCAATGAAAGCACATACTCTACTCAAGTGATTTATAGATGCGGACAAACGCCACTGAGCAGGCAAAACTATATCATGAAATCATGTGACCAGAGAATGTGCTTTCATTGGCTAGTTAATCTTTTTAGCTCAGCACGTAGCTCAGGTTGACTGTACACATGGTCAGTTTTTCACCTTGCGAGGCAAAAACATCAAACAGGACAGATATTTGCCTCATGGCATCGTGAAGCAGAAAACTCAGCAAAAATTTACCGCACACAGGGATATTTTGTGAGCTACATGATGGGCAAACGGCCTCGAGTGACTTTTTTTGCTCAGCACGTAGCTCTCATGTATGGCCGGCTTTAGGTATGCACAGTATCAGCACATATTTTTTTTCTCCTTTTTAAAAAATTTTATGATCAATTTTGCAAGAACTGATTTTGGAAACTAATCCATTTTTTTATTATTAATTTGTTTTTTGTTATTTCGTTTTCCCTCTTTTAATAGAGTTGGGGATTTCACTCAAAGTTAAATCGTGTTTTTTCCCACTGCTTGCATGATGTATTAAACACTGTTCATTGCAGCACATGTGTTATCAAGGTTTTTTTCTTTAAAAACAAAATAAGACAGAGATTTTAAGAGCTTGAGTAACTTGACAAACGTTCTTTAGATACCCCGACAAAATGTCAACCAATGTCTCACTTGTGTCCCCTAGTACTTTTTCTCAAAATGCAAATTTTGCTTTGCCACTTACCAGGAATGTTGTCCACAAGATTCTGTTCCCTCCATTCCACTGTCAAAGCAGTTCCTTAGGAAACAATTAAAAAAAAATAACATTCAATCCTCCACTTATTTCTAACTGTTTCAGCCCCTCAATCAGTATTGTAGTACTCGTACTCGGTACTCGTATACTCGAGTACTACTTGAGTACTTTTTGAGTACTCGTACTCATACTTGAATGTCAAAGTACTCGTACTCGAAATGCCGATGATTGTACTCGGGCAGCAATTAAGGTACACGAACTCGACATGTTGCAATTGTACTCGATCATCAAAGTACTCGTACTCGAACAGCAGTACTTGGAGAAAAAAGTGGCATAGCTTGACTGACCTAAGCTTTGCTTTATTTTATCAATACTTTCAGTTTCAAATGGTTGATTGGCTTGCGGAGAAATCAGAGTTTCCTGATTTTCCTCTGTGTGCGTCCGGACAAACACATTTAACAGCTAGCCGTGAGTGGGTCTATAAAATCGGTCTGACGGGGACTGGGCCAATTTCGCACAATGAACCATTAGCCATATGGCCGTATTCGGAAGTACAAGTATTCGTACTCAGAGACCTGTACTTGTACTCGGAGGTAGAAGTTCTCGTACTAGTACTCAGCAAAAAGTACTCGACTACAACACTGCTCTCAATCCCAACATTTTGAAGCACTTGGTTTGCAAAAACCCTATTGAAGAAACTTATAAAGTGAAAGAACAGAGCATTTTATCAGTGCTTGACTCCAACTTCGCACTCCTCATTCCCTTTAAAAAAAACTTGATTTTGCAAGGGTAAATACGCCTTTGGGACGCTTGTGCGTTTATGAGAAATATGACTTCTATTTCGATAAAGTAAAGGATGGAATAAAACTTTATGACAGCAGTCACAAAATAATTGTAAAACGAGCCAAAAAAGAAGAAAAAAAATGATGCGTGATACTAACTGCATATGTGATGTTGAATTTCCAAAGAATTTGTGAATTAATGACATCATTTTTCCTTGAATAATGTAAAAAAAAAATTTTTATTAAAGGATAAAAAAGCGACGTAAACCAATTATAACGCTGAAGGTGTGTGGGTCATTTTGGCGCCTAGCATAACTAGAGTTCCATAAAAAAATAATGACATGAGCAGGCAATGGCAGACTGCAAGGCCAAACCAACGCACTTTTTTACCTGTCGTCCGATTTTGATAAAAATTGCTGTGCTTGTAGGTCCTGATAAGCAATGAATGCACACCAATTTTTAGCACGATCCGACCTACCACGTGGTCAGGGCAGAAACCACAAAAAAATGGACATTTTTAGAGCAAAATACCACCCTTTTGGTAGAAATATGTCAAAACCATGTCAATTTTCATCGAATATATGCGAATTTGGTATTAAAATAGTAAGAATTACATGCTCAAATCAACTCTTTTGTCAAAATTAAATTCAATTCCAAGCGCGCTCGTGGGGATAACTAATTATCAGTGGCATCCCGGGTGGGTGGGGGGGGGGGGCGTCTCAATTCCAAGCACGCTTGAGGCATAACTAATTATCAGTGGCAATATTCTACAGAAGTTTGAAAACAAACAAATTATGAGGGCCCCCCCCCCAAAAAAAGTCAAATCCTGGGTGCGCCACTGCTGATAATTTATATTACGAGTCTGGTTAGACCTCATCAGCCCTAAACATGAGAAATTCCCAAACCAAGATTAATTTAAATACCTTTAGAAACAGAATAGTAACTTGTGTTGGTGGATTTCTAATGTAAAGTCTATAAATTGACTCATATGTAACCTACCAACTGTACAAAAATAGTCATAAAGTTGTACATTTTGAAGACCCCAATTGATTTTTAGTGGATTCTGATAGAGGAAGACATGCTCTATCAAGTCATTTTTATTTCGTTGATTTTCAGAATGATACATTATTACATACATTGGGTCAAAGGTCACGATAACATATTAAAGGTTACGTGACCTACTTTTCACAAAATTTCATTTTGACAAAAGCGTTGATAATTGAGCATGCAATTCTTATTATTTTAATACCAAATTTGCATATATTCGATGAAAATTGACATGGTTTGACACATTGCTACCAAAAGGGTGGTATTTTACTCTAAAAATGTCATTATTTTTGTGGTTTCTGCTACATGGTAGGTCGGATCTGGCTAAAAATTGGTGTGCATTCATTGCTCATCAGTATGAAGCCCGGTAAGGGACAGGGTGGAATTTGTTTTTGGCATTTGCTAATTCGTTCGCACGAATTAGTAATTCGTTCGCACGAATTAGTAATTCGTTCGCACGAATTAGTAATTCGTTCGCACGAATTAGTAATTCGTGCGAACGAACTACTAATTCGCGCGAACAAATTACTAATTCGTGTGAACAAATTAACAAACTCCAGTAATTCGTTCGCACGAATTACTAATTCGTTCGCACGAATTACTAATTCGTTCCCACGAATTACGAATAGGAATTCGTGCGAACGAATTACTAATTCGTTCGAACGAATTACTAATTCGTTCAGTAATTCGTGGGAACGAATTAGTAATTCGTGCGAACGAAATAGCAATTCGTGGATACGAAACAGCAATTCGTGGGAACGAAATAGCAATTCGTGGGAACGAATTAGCAATTCGTGCCAACGAATTAGTAATTCGTGCGAACGAATTAGTAATTCGTGCGAACGAATTAGTAATTCGTGCGAACGAATTAGCAATTCGTGCGAACGAACTACTAATTCGCGCGAACGAATTACTAATTCGTGTGAACGAATTAACAAACTCCAGTAATTTGTTCGCACGAATTACTAATTCGTTCGCACGAATTACTAATTCGTTCCCACGAATTACGAATAGGAATTCGTGCGAACGAATTACTAATTCGTTCGAACGAATTACTAATTCGTTCAGTAATTCGTGCGAACGAATTAGTAATTCGTGCGAACGAAATAGCAATTCGTGGGAACGAAACAGCAATTCGTGGGAACGAAATAGCAATTCGTGGGAACGAATTAGCAATTCGTGCCAACGAATTAGTAATTCGTGCGAACGAATTAGTAATTCGTGCGAACGAATTAGTAATTCGTGCGAACGAATTAGCAAATGCCAAAAAAATTTCCACCCTGTCCCTTCCCGGGCTTCATACATCAGGACCTACAAGCACAGGAATTTTTATCAAAATCGCAAGACATATGAGGTAAAAAAGTGCGTTGGTCTGGACATGGAATTACCCTGCTTTAAAATTGTTGAGTAAAAAAGGGTGGGAAACCTACTATGCGTGTGTGTTTCCATGTAGGTTGCATGTGTTTTCCTGAGCACGACGCCCCTGCCTGGCGCCACCTCATTAATGGGTTGATGTGAAAACACCATCTGTGAGACTCCTGTGACCAATCCAAAAGGTTTTTCCCCCCAATTTTTGGTTCTCCAAAGTTTCATAACGGCCTCGCTATTAAATAATGTTAATCCATCAAACATTTGTGTAACATTCCGGACGCTTTTGTGTAAATACAACTTGGATAAATCGGCATCCAAATAAAATACAGTAAATTCCACAAAGTGGAGTTAAGTAAAGTTTCAGCAAGTTTTTTTTTTTTAAGCCTCAGTCCCATGCAGGTGTTTACTTGTCGTATTTCATGAAGGCCCAATTAAAAAGAAACCCAGATGTTGTTGTAAATTATAAAAAAATGTAATAAATATTTTCAAATAAGTTCAAGATCATGTGAAACACCAATGTGTCCTCTTCCCAATGATACCTTGATTGTGTGTCTGTGGCCACGGATGACTGAGCATTCGTTGTTATTATGTCAAGGGACAAAACCTGTACTAGGCCGAGGTCTTGCTTAAAGATTGCTGGCTGGTTTGTTGTAAATGCAAAGGTTGAAATGGACTAGACTTGGTGCAGAGCTTTGCGTGGAAAGAGTCGTTTGCCACTTCACAGTGGTTTAAAACCATGCATTTAGTGACCCAGACATCATCGATTTTCTTGAATCATCGTCAAAAATATTATTGAAAACGAATTCAAATGCGATCGATTACCATGTAGAATACGCTGCACGTTCCTCAGCACGTGCATTTTTGTAAAAATGATGTAGATTTTGCTTTTCATGAGTTTTACTCGCCGTTGGTGAGTAGCGCCCTCTGTTGACCAATAGAGTACAGTGTGACAACAATTTTTTAAGGGCGAAACATTGCGGATCTGGGACAACGTACGTTCATTGCACTGTTTTGTGAAATTAAAAGTAAGACTTACCCATGTTTTTATTCAATCTACACAAATGGGACTTATCAATTTACTGGAGAATGTCCATTTTCGAAGGACTGCAGAGTAATTTGTAATTTTTTCCCTCGAAATTTGGGAAATAAAATTAATGATGTGGGCGACACAGGTGAAGTAATGTACGTTTTATTCAGATGATTTTTAATTTTCTCGGCTGTTTGGCTTTGAGGAAAAGAGGACGATCATGGAACATCAGCAAAAAGTTAATTCTAGTATTTTTTTTTATCAACAAAATAATAATCAGAAGTAATTTTTAACTTACTCTATTAAGTATCGAGTAAAGTTTATGTTGGGCTAAGGAAGGTTTTATAAAAGTTATCCGTTTCACGGTGTAATGTGTTCCTTGCTCATCATGCGATCGCAAAAATCTGCCTGGTCTGACCGACCGAGAAACTCATCAAGTCACACTTTTTTGTTTGTCACTGGGACGCGTTTTGTAAATTTGTTTCCATTCACTGTTTAATAATCTGATTTGATGTTAAATTTTCTCAGTGCATTGGGGTCCAGGTTATCAATGGGCAACATATGTGAGGCTAGTAGTAGATCGGTACCCACGTTTTACTTTGAGATATAAATTATATTATAATTTTACTTATCGATATAAATTATATATCAAACGAAAGAAAAGTGGCTTCAGAAAAAATGGGTTACAGAAAACAACAAGTTAAGGCCCTGGACACAGCAACTTCTTAAATCTCATGAAGCCGAATTATAATCTGCCATTATTGAATAAAGAGGCATGGTTATAACATGGACATTTCGAAGTGAATTACACCTCAAAA